GAAGAATAACCCAGGGAGGCTGGCAGGCTCTGAGAGTGGGGACAAGGCTGGGAAGAGGCAGGGAGCTGCTCTCAGATGGCTGGGCTGGGCTGGGCTGGGCTGGGCCAGGCTGGGCTAGCACAGCAGGTGATGGCTCGAATGTGCAGTATGCAGGCTGCCCCCTGGGGCGGAAGCTCCTCCTAACCCCTCTTCTGCCACCACCGCTTTCACCATCCGACCCTGCTAAGGACTCCTCCCTGATAAAGCCCTCCCAGGGCCCTGCCAGCCCAGCCCAGCCCATCCCCAGGCATGGCACCTCCATGCCTGTCCCCGGGATTGCGTTTAGTTTAAAATGTTGGCTTATTTGAGAGATAGACACAAAGACACAGAGAAAGAAGAGGAGGAGGAGGAGGAAGAGAAAAAATAGACTCTTTCATCTGCTGGTTCACTCTCCAATTGCCCGCAACGAGTGAGATCTGGCCAGGCCAAAGACAGAAGCCAGGTACTTCATCCAGGTCTCTCACAGGAAGGACAGGGGGTCAACTACTTGAGCCATCTCCTGCTGCCTCCCAGGGTGTGCATTAGCAGGAAGCTGGAATCGGAAGCCAACTCTGGGAACTGAACCCCTACACTGTGACATAGGATGGAGTCTTAACCACTAGGCCAAACACACACTCCCTGCATTGTTTTTAAACAGGCCTAGCTCCTGCCCAGACAATTATCCCCTGGAGGGCGGGTGCTTTTTTTTTATTTTTTTTTATTTATTTTTTTTAACAGGCAGAGTGGACAGTGAGAGAGAGAGACAGAGAGAAAGGTCTTCCTTTGCCGTTGGTTCACCCTCCAATGGCCGCCGGCCGGCGCGCTGCGGCCGGCGCACCGCGATGATCCGATGGCAGGAGCCAGGAGCCAGGTGCTTTTCCTGGTCTCCCATGGGGTGCAGGGCCCAAGCACCTGAGCCATCCTCCACTGCACTCCCTGGCCACAGCAGAGAGCTGGCTTGGAAGAGGGGCAACCGGGACAGAATCCGGCGCCCTGACCGGGACTAGAACCCGGTGTGCCGGCGCCGCTAGGTGGAGGATTAGCCTAGTGAGCCGCGGCGCCGGCCGTTGAGTTGTGCTTTTAACCCCAGGACTCAGCCCGGCATCAGGGAGACAGATGGGAAATGCTGTGTGAATGCGCTCAGAGCAGCCTGCGAGGCTGGGTGAGCACGGAGGAGTGGAGGAGTGGATGGGAAGCAGGTGGGGAGCGGACAGGGGTGGACAGGGGGTGACATGAGGATGGCAGGGGAAAGGAGTGGAGAACATGAGAAGAACTCCTCCCTGTCTGGCCCTCATCCGGAATGCGCGGACACTGCGGGCTGCAGTGGTGAGTGACCAGAATGTTCAACGCTTCTGCAGCAGCAGAGGCGCCGTGATTAAACAGCCCCTTTTCATCAGTTTTATGCTCCTGACCAGGGCCACACAGGGCAGGGGAGTTTTCTTCCTCTGGACTAGTGGTGGTTCTTTTTTTTTTTTTTTAATTGGAGATAACAAAGAAGGAAAAAGACTGACAGACAGAGTTCACATTTGCTGGTCCATTCCTCAAATGCTCAGGATGGCCAAGGCTAGGCTATGGCTGAAGCCAAGAGCCAGGCCTCCCATGTGAGTGACACAGGCACAACTACTTGAGCCATCATCTACCGCTTCCCGGGATCTGTTTAGCAGGAAGCTGGAGTCAGGAGTTGGCGCAAGGAATCAAACTCAGGTACTGTGATATGGGATGCGGCTGTCTTAACTGCTAGGCTAAGTGCCAGCCCCTGAGTTTTTGTTGTTTTGTTTTGTTGAGACACATATAAATCACCGTGTGTATAATATCATCTATGATTCTTCTATAAAGCACTGGTAAGCTCGTGGTACTGACTGGCCACCTATGTGGACTTTCTCTATGCCTTTGTTGTGTCCAGTGAGCACCATTTGGGCCTTGGAAATTGCAATCAACATCTGTGTTCTTTCCTTTACTGGCAAGAAGTAGAGAATAAAAGAAAGGACAACTCTAAAATGGGGCATGGCCCTTACCAGCATAAACCCAGAGCTGCTTCCCGGAATCTTGCAGGTTCAAGTCCCGGCTGCTCCATTTCTAATCCAGCTCCCCACTAATGCAGCTGGAAAAGCATCGGTAGATGGCCCAAGTACTTGGACTCCTGCCACCAGTGTGGAAGCCCTGGATGGAGCTCCCGGCTCCTAGTTTCATTCTGGCCCAGCCCTGGCTGTTGCTCCCATTTGGGGAGTGAAATAACAGATAGATTCTTTCTCTCTCTCTCTCTCTCTCTCTCTCTGTGTGTTTCAAATAAATAAAATATTTTAATGACAAAAAAATTAAAAGCGTTTCTATCATTGGCTGTGTGGTCTTGGGCAGTTTTCTTACCCTCTCTGAGCCCCTGCACTCTTGTGAGTCAGCCGAGGGACTCCATGTACCTGCACAGAGGCAGTGTACAAAGGCACTTAGAGAGCTTCACAGCACGCAACACGGGAGCTGTGCTTATCTCCGGCAGAACCAGACTCCTGGTTCCTGCCTCTGAATGCTGGGCCTCTTCCCGGCAGGATGAAGCTGTCACTGATGACTGAAATGTACTGGGAAGCACAGAATCTGCACCAACCCAGAATGCAACCTCTTCCAGTGAAACACAATGGGGTTTTGCAGCAGGCCTGCCGAGTGGTTTCCAGTGCACGTAATAGAATCCTCGTGGTCTGGATTCTTGGCGCTGACCCTGCTGCCACCCAGCCCAGGGTCCCTTCTCCCGCAAGGAGCTGTCACTCACATCCTCCTGAGTCCTGCTGACCTGACACGGCTCTCCCCGCTGGAGTGCATGGCGCCCGCGTAGCCCAGCACCGTCTGGGGCTTGTCCTGGGAACACGCTTGACCTAAAGGCACTCCGTGAATATTTACCGACTGTGTTCCACCACCGGCGGTCATCCTCAACAGCCAGGTCTGCCCGGACCATCCCTCTGTGCCCAGTCAGTGGAAGTCAGCCTGTCTTTATCCTTGCTACGGTGTCCCTTTATGGGTCCCCCTGGGGTCCACTCCCGTTGGTCTCCTGTGGTCAGTGGAAGTCTTGCCTCTTTGCCTCCTGGCAGCTCACGCCGGCTCCCAGCTGCCGCTTCTGTGCCTGCCTGTTTGACTCCCGCCCATTTGCACCGTGCTTGCACGTGCAGGAGGGTCTGGGCATGTGAAAGGGACACTCTTGGTGGCCCTCCCCAGCCTGGGGCTTCTGCACAGGGGATGTGATGCCAGGGTGGTGCCGCAGCGTCCACCACTGCAGAATGGAGCCTAGGCCGCTCCTTTCCAGCCTGGCGCCTCCGGCTGCGGGGCCTGCCTCCATCTCCTACCAGCATCCTGCGACGGGCAAAAGCCTGTCTGAGCCAGGCAGCCAGCTGCAAGGCGACCCTGGGCAATCCTCCCAAGGCTTCTCAGCCCCATTTCCTCACCAGCAAACTGGGAGCCATGCTGAGCACCTGGCCTGTGGCTTCCCACGGTGGACATCACGGTGTTGAGCGGGGCTTCCTCAGACGGCACCTACTGTCCCTTATTTTAAGCATCCCCAGTTGTCGCAGGGGAGCAGTTCTGATGCCCTCAGTAGAAAGGGACAACTCTCTCTCTCTCTCTCTCTCTCTCTCTCTCTCTCTCTTTTTCCCTTTACTTACAGGATTCAGCCAAAGGTTAGGGGCTTGTAGGATGAGGCTGCAGCACTGTGGTTTGGATGTGGTTTGAGGGTGTCTCCCAAGAGTCCATGTGCTGGAAGCTTGGTCCCCAGCATGGCCATGGGAGAGGTGCTGGGGCCTTGGGGGCCTGGTGGGAGCTCACTGAGGGCCTCTGCCCTTGGAAGGGATCAAGTGACCTTGGGACCCTGCTGATGCAGAAATGCACTATTATTAAAAGAGCAAGATGGGTCCCTGCCATCCTTGGGCCTCCTGCCTGACCGATCTCTCTCTCACACCACTCCCGCCAAGATGTTACCCACCACGACCTGATGTAGCCAAGGGGGCCTCACCAGAGCCACTCTGTGCTGTTTGGACTTGCAGCATCCAGGACTGTGAGCTGCATGGATCCAGCCATGGATATTTTGTTGTAGCCCCAGAAAATGGACTTGCACAGGCTTCACCGGAGAAACAGCCCTGCACAGAATTTAGGGGAGGTGCACGGGGACAGAGGAGGGGTGGGAAGCCACAGGCCCGGGGACCCAGGAGACCAAGTTGGCCCTGAAGCACAGGCATAGACACACTTCCCTTGTAGCACTGAGATTCCTATAAAGGTTTCTGAATCCTTCTTCAGGGGCAGGCATTTGGCCTCACGGTCAAGTTACCCATGTTCCATAATAGACTATCTGCCTCTGCTCCTGATCCAGCTTCCTGCTAATGCACACCCTGGAGGCAGCAGGTGATGGCTCAAGTAATTTGGTTCCTGGCACCCATGTGGAAGGCCTAGAATGAGTTCCTAGCTTGGCTGTGACCCAGTAAAACCCCAGTTGTTGGGAATGTTTGGGGGGAGTGAACCAGCAGATGGGAGTTTCTCTCTCTCTCCCTCCCTCTCTCTTTCTTCCTTCCTCTCTCTCTCTCTCCAGCCCCCACCATATGTCTGTCTCTCAAATAAATAAAATAGTAAAATAAATTAAACATCCTTCCTCACATACTCTCAAAAAGTATAAGATGCTGATCATGGCAGTTTCTCGCGATTTTGTTTCCAGTAGCATAGTGGTAATGCGTTTCCTCTCTTCCTTTTCCTCTTATCTCTCTTGTTCTTCTCTGTTCTTTGCCATCTATAAGCACCCTCTCCTTCCTTTGCTCTCTCAGAAGTAAAGCAGATGATGGAAATCCTCCTGGTAAAGAAACATCTTGAGACATCAGCTTTGAACAAAGGGAAATCTGCATCTCTTCAATGCCTCCTAATTATTCATTTCCTCTTTCTCTCCCTCATATGGAAATAATTACTGCATGAGTCGTCCCCCCACCCCCAACCCGAGAGATCAGACCTTGAAGCAATGGAGCTGCCAGCAATGACTCAGCTGTATTTTTCAGCATGCTCAGCGTCAGTGAATTTCCCTAAGTATTCCTGGGAAGTGTGGCCCGGCCTCACCTCCGAGGACCGCAGAGGGCAGAGGAGCAGCAGCGGGCACTGAGCTGCGGGTCTCCCTGTGCACATTCTCACATTGCCCACTTCCAGGAGATGTGGCGACAGGTGGAACTGTAAGAGTCCAAAGTCGGGAATAATAATTAGAATCCTTTGTCTCTGCAGCTTGTAGCATGCGATTTGCTTTCACGTGCTTTTTACTGGTTGTGAGGCTCAGGGACTAGATCAAATGGGAACTCACACAACTCCCATCCATCAAAGGGAAGCCACAGACTTGCCCCACCTTCAGTCCCCAACACAGGGTGGTGGGGGGGGGGCTTACTAGCTGTTGTCATGGTAACAGGATCCATTCCACTGGTTTTGAAAACAAGCACCTTAGCATTGACACACAGCAGTGGCTCTCTCTCCTAAAGACCTGCTGCAGGTGCACTTGCCCCTCATAGATGCGGTTGCCCCCCAGGCATGTCTCCATGACGGCACTCTAACACCATCTTTCCGAAGCTTGCTCCTCTACCCATCTCCAGGCTCAAACCTGAGAGTTAGCCTCAGCTGCCCTCTCTCCCTCATCACTCAGGGGATGGACACACTGGACCAACAATCTCTTCTCAGGGCATAAACTGACCCCACCCCAAACCATGCCCACTGCTAAGTCACTTACCTCCTTGAGAGTATTCATGTCCCAGCAGTGTTGAAGACTGTGGTGTAGACTCGACCCTATCACAGGTGCAGTGCTCTGCTAAGTGCCTCGGAGTGAGAAGAAACGTGCCTGTTTATACCCTGGAAGGAAGACAGAGAAGAAATTGCCGGAACAGGTGAAGGTGAATTCTAAGGCAACAGAGAAGAGAGGTCAGGGCGGGCCAGGCTACATGCTTGAAACATCTGTGCTGGCTGCCCACACAGAAACCAAAGGACTCAGAAGAAAAGTGCCATTCATCGTGGGGAAGTGTCCATGAACATGGTGAGTCTGCAGGGCTCAGCTATGGTGGAACAGCGGCTTGGCCACTGCTGGGCAATGACGTGGTCGTTGTGGATACCTCTCTTACTGGAATGTTGGCAGACGGTGTGGAGCAACTAGCTGGGCCGGGAGAAGGTGGAAGAGAAATGAGGGTGGGACAGGAGAGAAGCTTAGCTGGAGAATCACAGGTGAGAGGCACTGGCCACTGAATGACCAGTGGTGGCCTCGGTGCCCCCTTTCCTGCCTGGTCCTTTGCCCCCACCCCCGCCTCCTGCTCTGCCTCGAAGTCAATTTCATCTCTAACCATGCCACCCCCACCTCAGACTGATTCTGAGCCAGATGTCTTCTGCCCTCCCCAGAATGACCCACTGGTCTACCAGCGCCCACAGGCTCTGCTTGTGCCCACACTCAACTGTTAAGTCATCACCTGCTGCTCTGCTGAGTCATCATCATCCTTTCAAGGGATGCTTTTATTACTGACCATGGTAACTGCTTTTCCTTATAGCTCTCTCCTCTGCAAACAGTGCATTTAGAGAGGAGTACAGAATTGAAAGCCCCACATGTGCTGTCCAGAGAAAGGCGACCCTCAGGGTGGAGCTGTTCTGGGTGAGGATGACCTCAGAGCCAGCTTCCCTCTGGTATTTGGCAGCTCCACTACCAAAGGAAAGGCTTCTTTGATTCCCTTGAGGGGAAGAGAATTGAAGTCTTAGGAGCATTGCCACTTGATCAACTAGGAAGCTTCGGAAGGTACAGGGATGGGATAGATCAGCTCCCAAAGTTCTTTCGAGTCCTGCCCCCTTGCATCCCCAGCACAGTGCAGGGGAACCAACAGGCCTCTTGCTGCCAAGGCCATCAGTGTGACTCAGGTTTGGGCAGAGCACATGGAGAATGTGAGGCAGAGGCTGCACTTTTACTGCCTGCCTTGCTTGTGAGCAAGCATGCCCATGAATTTCTGGGTTTTCTTTTTTTTTTAATATTTTTATTTATTTATTTGACAGGTAGAGTTACAGACAGTGAGACAGACAGACAAAAAGGTCTTCCTTCTGTTGGTTCACTCCCCAAATGGCCGCTACGGCCAGTGCTGTGCCAATCCGAAGCCAGGATCCAGATGCCTCTTCCTAGTCTCCCATGCAGGTGCAGGGGCCCAAGCACTTGGGCCATCCTCCACTGCTTTACCAGGCCACAGCAGAGAGCTGGATTGGAAGAGGAGCAACCAGGACTAGAACGGGTGCCCATATGGGATGCTGGTGCCATAAGTGGAGGATTAACCTAGTGCACCACCTTGTTGGCCCCCTGGGTTTTCTTTTTCAACAGCAATGAGGAGAGGTGGGTCACTGTCCCACAGGGGCCTGTGTTGATGTTGTGGCAAGTGTTGTCTGATTCTAGAACCAGCCACAGTCTATGGCAAGTTCTTTTTTAAGATTTATTTTATTTATTCTTGAAAGGAGAGAGAGAGAGATCTTACTTTTGCTGGCTCACTCCTCAATTGGCTGCAACAGCCAGGGCTGGGCCAGGCTGAAGCCAGGAGCCCAGAACTCCATCCTCATCTCCCGCATGGATGACAGGGTCTTTACTTTCCTTTTTAAAAAATATTTTTATAGCTTGGCAGCTTCTTTTTTTCAACTTTTATTTAATAAATATAAATTTCCAAAGTACAACTTTTGGATTATAGCAGCTTTCCCCCCCATAACCTCCCTCCCACCCACAACCATCCCATCTCCCACTCCCACTCCCATTCCACTCACATCAAGATTCATTTTCAATTATCTTTATATACAGAAAATCAAATTGGTATATACTAAGTAAAGATTTCAACAGACTGCACCCACATAGACATACAAAGTATACAGTACTGTTTGAGTAGTAGTTTTACTGTTAATTCTCATAGTACAACACATTAAGGACAGAAAACCTTCATGGGGCATAGGTGAACAGTGACTCCCATTGTTGGTTTAACAATTGACACTCTTATTTATGATGTCAGTAATCACCCTAGGCTCTTGTCATGGGCTGCCAAGGCTATGGAAGCCTCTTGAGTTCGCCAACTCCGATCTTATTTAGACAAGGCCATAGTCAAAGTGGAAATTCTCTCCTCCCTTCAGAGAAAGGTACCTCCTTCTTTGATGGCCCATTCTTTCTGCTGGAATCGCAATCACAGAGATCTTTCATTTAGGCATTTCCATGCCTGTGAAATTCTTATAGGCTTTTTAGCCAGATCCAAATGCCTTAAGGGCTGATTCTGAGGCCAGAGTGCTGTTTAGGACATCTGCCATTCTATGAGTCTGCTGTGTATCCCACAGCCATGTTGGATCGTTCTCTCCTTTTTAATTCTATCAACTATTATTAGCAGACATTGGTCTTGTTTATGTGATCCCTTTGACACTTAATCCTACCATTATGATCAATTATGAACTTAAGCTGATCAATTTGATTAGTAAGATGGGATTGGTACATGCCACCTTGATAGGACTGAATTGGAATCCATCCCCTGGCACATTTCTAGCTCTACCATTAGGGTTAAGTCTGAGTGAGCATGTACTGGACTGTACATCTCTTCCCTCTCATTCCCACTCTTATATTTAACAGGGATCACTTTTCAGTTAATTTTGAATGCCTAGGAATAATTGTGTGTTAATTAAGGAGTTCAACCAATGGTATTAAGTAGAACAAAAAAATACTAAAAGGAATAAAATGATAAGTTGTTCCTTGACAGGACAAGGGCCGATTAAGTCATTGTTTCTAATAGTGTCCATTTCACTTCAACAGGTTTCTTTTTAGGTGCTCAGTTAGTTGTCATTGATCAGGGAGAACATATGATATTTGTCCCTTTGGGACTGGCTTATTTCACTCAGCATGATGTTTTCCAGATTCCTCCATTTTGTTGCAAATGACTGGATTTCATTGTTTTTTACTGTTGTATAGTATTCTATAGAGTACATATCCCATAATTTCTTTATCCAGTCTACTGTTGATGGGCATTTAGGTTGATTCCAGATCTTAGCTATTGTGAATTGAGCTGAAATAAACATTGAGGTGCAGACAGCTCTTTTATTTGCCAATTCAATTTCCTTTGGGTAAATTCCAAGAAGTAGGATGGCTGGGTCATGTGGTAGGAATATATTCAGATTTCTGAGGAATCTCCAAACTGTCTTCCATAGTGGCTTTACCAGTTTGCATTCCCACCAACAGTGGGTTAGTGTCCCCTTTTCCCCACATTCTTGCCAGCATCTGTTGTTAGTTGATTTCTGTATGTAAGCCATTCTCACTGGGGTGAGGTGAAACCTCATTGTGGTTTTGATTTGCATTTCCCTGATGGCTAGTGATCCTGAACAATTTTTCATGTGTCTGTTGGCCATTTGGATTTCCTCTCTTGAAAAATGTCTATTTAGGTCATTGGCCCATCTCTTAAGTGGGTTGTTTGTTTTGCTGTTGTGGAATTTCTTGATCTCTTCGTAGATTCTGGTTATTAAAGCTTTATCAGTTGCATAGTTTGCAAATATTTTTCCCATTCTGTTGGTCGCCTCTTCACTCTCCCTCACTGTTTCTTTTGCAATACAGAAACTTCTCAATTTGATATAATCCCAATTGTTAATTTTGGCTTTGACTATCTATGCCTCTGGGGTCTTTTCCAAGAAGTCTTTGCCTGTGCCTATATCTTGCAGGGTTTCTCCTATGTTCTCTAATAATTTGATGGTGTCAGGTCATAGATTTAAGTCTTTAATCCATATTGAGTGGATTTTTGTGTAAGGTGTAAGGTAGGGGTCTTGCTTCATGCTTCTGCATGTGGAAATCCAGTTTTCCAAGCACCATTTGTTGCAGCTTCTTTTTTTAAAAGGTTTTATTTATTTACTTGAAAGCTAGAATCACAGAGAGAGAGAGGAAGAGACAAAGAGAAAGGTCTTCCATTCTCTGGTTCATTCCCCAAATGGCTGCAATGGCCGGAGCTGAGCTGATCCAAAGCCAGGAGCCAGGAGCTTCTTCCAGGTCTCCCATGCAGAGGCCCAAGCACTTGGATCATCTTCCGTTTTCCTAGGCCATAGCAGAGAGCTGGATTGGAAGGGGAGCATCTGGGACATGAACCAGGATGCCCACATGGGAGTCCTAGCCCTCTATGCCACAGTGCCAGCCCCAATGACAGGCTCTTAAGTACTTGGGGCATCCTGCACTGCTTCCCCAGGCACATTAGCAGGGAGCTGGCTCAGAAGCAGAACAGCTGCTTCTTGAAGCAGCACCCCATGTGGAATGACAGCATTGTTTAACCAGGTGCACCACAACACCAGCCCCCTCTAGCAGCTTACTGGCTGTGGCCTAGAAACATGGCTCTGGAGCTGCAGGCTGCCTGTTCTTAGCAGATCGGAAGACCAGTCCTGAGGTGTGGCTTAATCAATTTAGGATCCATTTCTGCAATGGAACAGTGATTTTGTAAGCAAGTTAATGTCCTTTACAAGTTCCCTTTCTGAGAATTCCATTCTGTAGGTCAAACCTGCCCTTGCAAGATTGGAAAATGCAGAAGCTCTTGGGTATGTGGTATTGCAAAGAAGAAACTTTAAGGAAAGAAGATATAACATATGTGGGATGTATGTATATGTGTTTGTGTTTGGAAATTTCTTATTACATCACCAATATATGAGCAAACAATCTTTTGTTTAAAAATACTCATCATACAATAAATACATTACTCAATACCATGTCCACATGATCAAAATGACCAGCTCCACGGTGGACCAGACGGATATCACATATCTCCAGGTATGATGGCTTGGAAAGGACATATCACCTAGGCAGTACCCTATGGCAAGCACATAACTTCATTGTAGCCACACACAAAAAAATTAAACACAAAATGAGTGGTGCTCATTAAAAAAAAAAAAAAAAAAAAAAAAAAAAAAAAAAAAAAAAAAACAGGAGTTGGGGGGTGGAGGGTTGAATTCTTCAAAAATGTTGGTGACCTAAAAGGCAAAAGACTGTAGAATGTTCTGGATTATGACAAATAAATGTAGTATGTGACCATGGACTGGATCCCGTCCTGCAGTGGGAGACTTGCTATCGAGGACATTGTTGGGTCAGTAAGAGCAGATTCAGGTCACAGCATCATTGATGACTTTGGTTTTGTAGAAGAAAGGTCTCCATTTGTGGAAAATACACACTGACATATTTAGGAATAAAGGGCCATTGTGTATGAAACTTAATCTCAAATGGTTCAGCAAGAGTTAACAGAGGGGAGAGGGCAAATGATGAAGCAGTGTGGCAGGAGGTTGAAATGTTAGCAATAGAAGAATGTTTAAAATGTTTCTTGCATTACTTTCTTCTTGGCAGATCTGAAATTACATTCAAATAGAAATTTAAAGCAAAAGACATTGCCTCCATTTTTTAGGTCCTGTCAAAATCA